TGATTCTGCTACTGTACCTTCGGAATGCTGTGAATCAGGCGGATTCCTGGGAAGCCCCTGCTGGTTTGTTCTTTACATGGCTCAGCTGACATTAGCATCCCTCCTAGTTTGTAGGAGACACTACCCAGGAAACAGTCTAGCCCACGGGGCCGGGGGTGGGGGGGAGGTGACATATTCAGAACCGGGCCCCCTCAGAGAACTTTGAATGGGTGGAAGAAGGAGTTCGTGTGCGCTCTTGCTCATGTCACAATGTTGGGCATGTGACTTAAGCATGTGGCGGGTCAAGGTCAATGTGATTGGACCGCTGGACCACCAGGCTCTGATTCTAGAGTGACTCAGCGGCCAAAGCTCCTTGTCGAAACTCTTAACCGCCACGTGGTTATGGCATAAGATTTATCAATGAAAGACGTACAGTTAAAAGTACTATTTATTGGGATATCTTGAAGGACTGGGGGTAAAGGGAGTCCTTGTTTCCTTCCCATCTCCCATCTGGCACTTGTTGATCGTTATTTGTCACTCATTCAGCATTTACAGAAAGCTTACCAAACGGCAGACCGCGTGCAGGGTGTGTGTAGGGGCAGCGAGGCAAGTTAGAAGGAACAGGAGCTCTCTTTCCCATAGTGACAGCTAAGAGTGGACACTTGTACAGTGTTTACCACGTGCCAGGCTTGTTCTGAGTGCTGCGGATCTCCTCACTTAACCATTACAACAGCCCCATCTGTTAGTATATTACCATCCCTGTTAGACACTGGATGACGCTGGCATGCAGAGAGATGAACCAGCTTGCCAAAGATATCACCACTGGTACGTGGCGGAGCAAAATTTGAAAGCAGACTCTCTGGCTCCAGAAACCGTGCTTTTAACCTCCATGCCAGATAGCTTCTCAAGGAGTTTATGGTCTGAGTATACATGGCTAAGTCTGTCCCTTTTCAGGGTAAGGCAGCAGGGAGCGGTGTAGAAGGAAGCAAGAAGTGACTCAGGTTGAGTGTGTTTGCTGTAAACTAACCCCAAGAGTGTCTGACTCAAGAAATGCTCCATTTCGTGCCCCAAGGAGAAGACTGGAGTGATAGGAAATTATTAAGCACAGCAAAAAGTTGGAAAAATTTACCAGCAATGGCAATGCAGTTTAATTTTATGTCCAGGGCTACCAAGGGCTACAACCGTGAATCTTCCTTTCACACACATACCATGAGGGTCAATGGATACAGTCAGTCCAATGACATCGTTTTCTCCCTTTCCTCCACTTTGCTAGCGGCACCTGTGTGAAAGCTGCTTCCCTGTGGAGGTTCGTACCTGCGGGGGCATGTCTAGGAAACTGATAGGATGAGTTTGCTGGAGAGTACTTGCAGCATGCTGGGAAGTTTCAGGAGCAAATTCCTGAAGGTAGAAGACTGCAGGCCTGATCATCAAGCCTCAGCTGTTACAAGAGAGGGGTGACTTCCAGGGTTGAGGTAGAGAGGAGGATGGGGTCAAGTTTTAAGAAATACAGAAGATGTATTTGTGTAGCTCTCCTAACACTAGTATGTTATTGACAAATATTCCGTATTATTTATATAGTATATAACATGTAAGTACTCACCCCAGGCTGTCTTTATAAAAATATGTTTGCAGGGGTGCCTGGGTGGCTCAGTGGGTTAAAGCCTCTGCCTTCGGCTCGGGACATGATCCCAGGGTCCTGGAATCGAGCCCCGCATCGGGCTCTCTGCTCAGCCGGGAGCCTGCTTCCTCCTCTCTCTCTGCCTACTTGTGATCTCTGTCTGTCAAATAAATAAATAAAATCTTAAAAAAAAAAAATGTTTGCGGAGACCTGAAAAACAAAACGTAAACATGCCAGAGGTCTTCCTAAGACCTTCTATATATATGCCCTTTAATGAGCTTCTACATTTTTTTTTTAAAGATTTTTTATTTATTTGACAGACAGAGATCACAAGTAGGCAGAGAGGCAGGCAGAGAGAGAGGAGGAAGCAGGCTCCCCGCTGAGCAGAGAGCCTGATGCGGGGCTCGATCCCAGGACCCTGGGATCATGACCTGAGCCGAAAGCAGAGGCTTTAACCCACTGAGCCACCCAGGCGCCCCGAGCTTCTACATTTCTAAATGTTAACAAATGTTAGTAATAATAAATAGTGGTATATAGTATTGTTATTGCTCTTATTCCCATTTTTTTGTTGTCACTAATTTTGTATCATGGTCAGTTGGAAAATAGGATTTAATTTTGAAAATACTCAACTATTTAAGTAGATTTTTCTAAACAGAAAGAGAGGAATGAAATTCACCCAGATAGGTAAGGAACTTAATGGTTATTAGTGGGCATTATGGATTTTGCATTCCTACAGAAACAAACTTGTGACCTAGGATTTTATTATCGTAGAATGAATTTCTTGCTAAGAGTTGCTTTCTGCTTATCTCACCATTTGATATTTACAAGATCACTAATATTTCCTTTCTCCACCCTAAATACCTTACTTCTTTCCAGGCAAGTAAGATTTCAGAAAGATGATGGGGAAATTCTTTTCCTTCTAATTGGTTCTTTGGCCCTTTTAATCCCCCTTCTTCCACTCCCAGCAGGGCATTAGTCATTAAAATGCGTCAGACAACTGTGGAACCTTCAGAATCGAAACTGTGATATGATCACATTACACACCCATTCAAAGTCCTCTGCTCCAGGGTCAAGGTTTGGATGATGTCACACAGCCTATGGAGCTCATACCTCCTCGACTGGTTTTTCTGATGTGAGAAGGATGGGAAAGGGGAGGAAGGTGAAACCCCCATCATTCCGAGAATCACATGTAACTAGAGACTGGTAAATCGAGATACTCCCATGTTGGCAGGTTAATCTAGTTTATTTCTATTAACCTGGTATATAATATTCTATTACATGAAAATAATCACATTTTATTCATCCATATTGATGGACGTTTAGGTTCTAACTTCTTGCTATTTCAAATACTGTTGCTGTGAACATCCCTATGTAAGTGTTTGTATGCCATCTAGGAAAGTTTCTATAGGACTCTTTAGACTTTTTACCCCGCAATTTGGAAATTGGAATCAAATTTTTTATCATAACTTTTGGTTGCAAAGGAATTGATTTGCTTGTAATGTAAACATTAACATTTAAAAGTAGATTTCTTTGGGCACCTGGGTGGCACAGTCTGTTAAGTGTCCAACTCTTGCTTTTGGCTCAGGTGGTGATCTCAGGGTCTTGGGATCAAGCCCCGTGTCTGGCTCTGTGCTCAGGAGGGAATCTGCTTGAGACTTCCTCTCCCCCTGCCTCTGCCCCTGGCTCTTGCTCTCTCTCTCAAATAAATAAATAAATCTTAAAAAAAAAAATAGAAGTGGTATTCTTAAATGTATCCAGTGGCATAAAAATACCGAAGTAATCTCATACTCACCATTATACATCAAACATTAATGATATGAACAAGGTCTCTTGTAGTGGGAAATTCTACATCCCTTCTTTTTCTTTTGGAACTTGAACTTTCTACTTCAGTCACAGGTTCTTATCTGAATATAATATACACTTTATGTGTTATGTGTGAGTGTTTTTTAATGATCACTTTACCATATTTCTTTGCCAACAAATTTTACATATAAACTTAAATTACATTGAATTTCTTTAACCATAATACTCCAAAGTGTTAAAATTTTTCTGAATTGAGTTATCATTATTTTTAGTTCACAACTAACCAATTAAATGCTTTTAAATTGTTGATCATATTGAAACACACACAAAAAAATCAATGGAACTTTAAGAAATTGGTTTGTATATCATGAACGAATTTTACTTATTTTTAGAAGAAGACCAGTTCAGCATCGGTTTATGCCCAGTTCTTGCTTTTATATTATAAACACTGACGACTACCATTCACATACATAAATAAATAGGTAACAGTTGGAATAAATTGAGTAAATGATGTTACTCATTTATTTGAAGGCTTTCCATGCTGTATGCCCCGCATCACTTAGTGGTGTTATTTTTAATAATTAATCAGTGGGTGGTGTCTTTCTTCAATTTACTAGGAAACAAGAAATGTTAACACTCGTATTCAGAAGTGTTTGTTAGTCGGTAGGCTCAGCTTCTCAACGTTGCTCTCATTATTTTGGATTATCTCTTTAGCTTCTTGCATGTCATTACCCTTTGGGGTAGCACATCCTCGAGCACCCAGATAAAGAACATGGGTGTGCCTTTCTCTTCTAAACAGGGAAAAAGGGCCACTATGAATGGGAGGTAGGGATTAGGAACCACAGGGGTGCTTGACTCCATGGGTTCTCAGGGAGTTCAGACTTAGGAGGGAGTATACATAGAAGATAAAGATCTGGACTTAACCCCCTGAAAACTGTCTGTGTGCCTCCATTTTCCAGATTGAAACTCCTACTCTGAGATTTCTCCCCAGCAGCAGAATAGCAATAGTGTTCGAGTTTCCTATGCCGTGTGACCGTTTCTCCAAACCCACGTCGCTGAGGATGTTGCTCTGGTTCTCAAGGACTCGCGAGAGGTTCCCTTTTGAGGATCCCCATATATGATTCATAGGAGTCTTCTAACTTTGGGAAAACCCCATGGTCATTGTATTTATTTATTTATTTAAATTTATTTATTTGACAGACAGAGATCACAAGCAGGCAGAGAGGCAGGCAGAGAGAGAGGAAGGGAAGCAGGCTCCCCGCTGAGCAGAGAACCCGATCCGGGCCTTGATCCGAGGACCCTGGGATCACGACCCGAGCCGAAGGCAGAGGCTTTAACCCACTGAGCCACCAAGGCGCCTTGGTCATTGTATTTAAATGACTGGTGGCCAGTGAGTAGTAAGCAACCAGAGTTCTAAGAGATGTGTAATTTCTATAATTTGCTTTGGGACAACCTTTGAAAGTATTTTCATGCATAACTTTCTTTCTTTTAAAGGGCATCCTGAGTCTCCATCAGCCAAGGTGTACAAGAACAGCACTCTCCTTGGTTTGCGTTCTGTGCACTGAAGCAGAAATACCTTTAATTGTTCATTGCGAAATAAACAGATGTCTAGAGGAGAAGGTTATTAAAAATATTTTGCATAGTTTGGGAGAACTAGAGGTCTGGATTGCTTGACCTAGCCTCACCAAGCAAACCCAAGTCAAGGAAGCTACCAAGGTATGTAAGCTACAAACATGGCTTATTCTTAGGGCAAAACTTTCCAGTCTGCAAATTTCTGGATATAGTTAAAAGGGGCAGTGCATTTCAAAAATAGAGTAACAGCCATCTTTGGGCAGGAGAATTCCACTTTAAACACAGAAGACTTGGGGTGCCTGGGTGGCTCAGTGGGTTAAAGCCTCTGCCTTCGGCTCAGGTCATGATCCTAGGGCCCTGGGATTGAGCCCCACGTCGGGCTCTCTGCTCAGTGGGGAGCCTGCTTCCTCCTCTCTCTCTCTCTCTGCCTGCCTCTCTGCCTACTTGTGATCTCTGTCTGTCAAATAAATTAAATCTTAAAAAAAAAAGAAATAAAAACAGAAGACTTAATGTGCCAAATTCAAATCATAAAGAAAGGTTGCCCAGTTAATAGGACAAATGCCTCAACATTGTAAAATAAACAGAATTTGAAATGCAGACAATCTTATTTTACAGTTATAAGTTATTTAAAAAAATATAAAGACCGAATAATAAAGCAATAAAATATATTACAGTTAGCGAGTCTACAAGAACACATTGACGGTGAGGCACAGCTTAATTAAGGTCTCCTTTCCACTTACCTCAACAGGTAAGTGACCTAGGAAGGGGGTGGTTCTGTAAGCTCTAGCAGCCAGTGGCCTGGGGCCACACTTTGGGAGGCAGCCAAGACAAAGGTACTATGTCCAGGAAAGAAATTTCAGAGAGGACTTAAGTCCTAGAACTAAGAAAATAAGGGGTTGTTTGTTTATTTTCTCCTTAGAAAAATACACTGTTTCTATCCATTAGCTTCCACTTCCTCCCAAGTTCCCTTCCTGGCTTTATGAAATTTATGTTTAGGATTTGAAGTATTCCCAGATTAATTGTTAAGAATAACGACCTTTTGCTTACAGATCTTCTTTTCCTCTTGGGTTTCCTGAAATGTAAAACCTGCGCATCTTTTTTTTTTTTTTTTAAAGATTTTATTTATTTGACACAGAGAGAGAAAGAGAGAGAGTGCGCACAAACAGGAGAGTGGCAGAGAGAGTGGGAGAAGCAGGCTCCCTGCTGAGCAGGGAACCCAACATGCGGACTCCATCCCAGGACCCTGAGATCATGACCTGAGCCGAAGGCATATGCTTAACCCACTGAGCCACCCAGGCTGCCAAACCTATATATCTTTTAAGAAATGCAACATATTGGGGCGCCTGGGTGGCTCAGTGGGTTAAAGCCTCTGCCTTCGGCTCAGGTCATGATCCCAGGGTCCTGGGATGGAGCCCCACATCAGGCTCTCTGCTCAGCAGGGAGCCTGCTTCCTCCTCTCTCTCTGCCTGCCTCTCTGACTACTTGTAATCTCTGTCTATCAAATAAATAAATAAAATCTTAAAAAAAAAAGAAATACAACATACTTAAGTACAACTAATTAGCAGAAATCCACCAAAGAAAACTGTTCACCTATTGTATTTAGAAAAGATAAGATTTCCCTTCTAAGGTAGATCTGATGTTAGGTTTCTCTATGGTATTCTTTCTGAAGTTGCTGTAAGATAGAAAAACCTCAATCACCACGAGAGTACTTTTGAACTTACTAATCCCGAGATATTGTTAACAAGTCTATAAGGCATAGACTCTAGAACTGCTTTATTTTGTCATTAAGTGGAACCATGGAAATTAAACGGTGCCCCCCCACTCCATTGGGCCACTAGGTTAGGTTTAAAAAATTAAATGTAAATTAAAGATACTGTATTCCTGTGGTTGAAAAATCAAAAGGCACAGAGCAATAGCATAATATACGATGGGAATTACAGCCCTTGGAGCCGTGTAACTGGACAGTGCTGTAAATGTCACCTTCCCACCTGTCTCCTTGCTGTATCGGTATATTAATAAGAATTTTTTTTTTTTTTTTTGAGAGAGAGGGAAAGGAAGAGAGAGGGTGTGGTGGGGGGGGGGGGGGGAGCAGAGGGAGAGAGAGAATCTTAAGTAGGCTCCACAGCCAGTGCAGAGCCTGACGCCAGGCTCAATCTCACGACCCTGAGATCATGACCGGAGCTGATGAGATCAAGAGTTGGATGCTTAGCAGACTGAGCCACCCACGCACCCCAATAAGGAGAATCTTGAAATGTAGAGGTGAGTAGGAGGAAAATGGGACTAGGATGAAAGAGAATGGCAAGAAAGAGGACAGGGAAAGGGAGAGTAGGATGGAAGGAAGAGGATGTGTTAGTCCTTTTGGGCCACTGCAACTAACCACAGTAGCCTTGGGTGTGGCTTCAAGGCAACAGAAATCTACTTCTCACAGTTTGGGAAGCTGAAAGCCCCAGATCAGCCTGCCTGCAGGATTGGGTTCTGTGTTTGGGGGAGGGTGAGCTTTCTGATTCACAGATGGCTGTTTTCCCAATGACCTGACCTGGCGTGGTGGAAGGGGGACTCTCATACAGGCCTCTTTCCTAAGGGCACTAGTGCCATTCATAAGGGCTCCATGCTCAGAACCCAACTGCCTGCCAAAGGCCCACCTCCTGATAGCAGTTTCAACCTAAGATTTCAGGGGAGGTGGTGGTGGCGGTGGTGGGCACACACATTGAATCCATGGCAGCTTGGAAAAACCGAGACTGTGCACAGAGGATCAGCACCTTTCCCAGCCCTCTCTTGCAAAGGTCCTTTCAGTGTATTTGTATAAGGATAGAAGAGGAAGGGGCATCTGGCTGGCTCAGTCACTGGAGCGTGCAACTCTTGATCTCAGGATTGTGGGTGTGAGCGCCATATTGGGTGCAGAGATTACCTAAAAAATAAAGTTTTGGGGCACCTGGATGGCCCCGTTGGTTATGCATCGACTCTTGGTTTCAACTCAGGTCATGATCTCCTGGGTCATGAGATCGAGCCTCTTGTGTGGAGCGGAGTTTGCTTGAGATTCTCTCTCTCCCTCTTGCCCCTCCCCCAGCTTGCTCTCTGTCTCTCGCTCTCTCTAAAATAAATAAAACCTTTTAAACATAAAATAAAATCTTTAAAAGAAAAGGATAGAAGAGGAAGAAATGGGAAGAGTAAAGGAAAAAAAAGACCTTTATCTGGGGAAGAGTATTAGTGAGCCTGTGGGAATTCTTAACCACATGAATGTGTTACTCGAATGAACTTATCTGTATTGCTTTTCCCTCCCCTATCTGTTTTATTTAGCCTCAACCAGGCATATTTTATTATTTTGAGGTTTAGGTTTTAGGGGAAATTTCAGAACGAAATTCAGAACGAAAGGCATAAATATTCGTGGAAGAGAGGCAAGCAGGGGTGCAGCCTCTCCTGCCTTCATACCAGAAACAAACTAACACTTCTCTGGGGCAAACTGGCCTGGTGAAACCCAGAGTCCAACTGTCTCTCTGCAGTGATCTGTTGAGACTGCAAGGAGCTCCGCTGTGTGGTGTTGCGTCCCGCAGAACATGTCCTGTTGACTACACCGTGCACCATTTACACCGTGTCCCGCTCTTCAGCAGGTGGCAGTGTTCCCTCTCTTCCCAACTGCCTTGGCCTTTCCCTTCCTTTTCTTTTTTCCAGGCTCCATGTAAGGGCTGCCTCTTTAATGTCCTTGGGAGATACTCTTCCAATGATCCTAGCACTGAGGGGGAGCAAACTAGCAATGGTAGCAATTCGTGTTTTCACATTTGACCTTTAGAGCCCTAATCTCCTGGTCTAATGAGTTGCCCCAACTCAGGGCAAGGGAGTGAGTATCAGTAATCATATGTTTACTTACTTATCCCTGTCTTCCCCTGTTCTCAACACTGAGGGTCCTCAAGCAGTCTTCTTGTTCCCTTCATTCCCCCTGCCCAAGGCTTGAAAACACTATTAAAAGCTACCTGTAGCCAAATTTCTCTCTAATTAACCTGTTTGGGATTTTATCAAAATGAGGTTTTCTTCCCATCGTTATTTTCAGTTGGAATAGCAGGAATTTTCCCAGGCTGCAATCCAGGGTCCCTCCCCAAGTAGCTATGTAATCTGGGCATATAAATCCTTTGGGCTTCAGGTCACCGTGTGAAAAACGGGGTTGGTGAACTAAGGGACTTTTGAGGTTTCTCCCAGCTCTTACAGCCCCGGATCCGAACGTCGTGGGCCACTGTGTTGAATAGTGGGGGTACTGTGATACCAGATGAGTGTTTCTCTTATTTTCTTTGAGTGGCAAAAGTTATTCAATAGCACAAAGAGTCAGAAGAGGAGAGGGAGTTGATCCAGGGAGAGAGGGTACCCAGGGTAAGGTGCGACATGTCAGCCACGCTAGACCCCAATGATGACAGATATTCTTGAGTATTTCCCTGGGGCAGCAGACACCAAACAGGCATTCAGTCTTAAATGCCAGAACTCCTTTAGTGTGCTCATTTATTTAAAAGTGGAATCAGGGGGCTCCTGGGTGGCTCAGTGGGTTAAAGCCTCTGCCTTCAGCTCAGGTCATGATCTCAGGGTCCTGGGATGGAGCCCCGCCTTGGGCTCTCTGCTCAGCGGGGAGCCTGCTTCCCTCTCTCTCTCTCTGCCTGCCTCTGCCTACTTGTGATCTCTGTCTGTCAAATAAATAAATAAAATCTTTAAAAAAAAAAAAGTGGAACAGAGTTGAGCTCTCTCCCTGGTGTATTTGATATTCTTCCGATAATGGGCATCTGTTGATTTTTAGACTTAATTGTATCCGGCGAGGTCTCCCCCCCCCTTTTTTTTTTTACCTTATGAAAACATTAAATGATCATTGTAAAGAACCTTTAGCCCATACAAAAAGAAAGAAATGGAAAGAGAAAGTCTCTTCCCTCGGAAGTCCTCCCTCCCCAGCCTGTAGTCAGAGATAAGCAGTGTTATCTTCTCTCCTGTTTCTTCTTTTGGATATTTTCCATGGATTTATGTAAATACAGATAAATGTATTGTCACTTCTGTTTTATTTTACTGAATTTTGATGTATAATTTTGTGGCATGTATTAATCCTCGTGTAGAAATATGCATGTAACATTGATGAGAGAACCAGTGAAGAAATTATAGGATTAGGGAACAAGATGGGTAACAAACAGAAAACAGTTGCTAATCAAATTCTCAACTAATAGCGATGATTCTTTTTTTAAAAAAAAGAAAGGTTTTTTTCTTTTCTTTTCTTTCTTTCTTTCTTTCTTTTTTTTTTTTTTTTTTGAGAGAGAGAGGGAAAGTACAAGCAGGGAGAAGGTCAGAGGAGAGGGAGAGAGAGAATCCCAAGCAGACTCCCCATGGAGCCCCACACAGAGCTGGGTCTCAGGACTCTGATATCACAACCTGAGCTGAAATAAAGAACAAAATGGTTAACCGACTGAGCCACCCAGATGCCCTGATAGCAATGATTCTTAAATGATAGAGCTTCCAGGAAGAATTGACCATGAAGACTGGTTTGAGGAGGCATTTCTAGGGGAGTGAGCTGGGATCATGGTGGTAGAGGACCACCTACAATTCCTCCATTTCTCTCCATGCTTACTACTAAGAGGCAGATTCTCTTTCCCCGTCCCCCACCCCCCCAACCGAGAATCTTGACAGCCTCTGTTACTTGCTTCGGTCAATAGAACAAAGCAAAAATGAAGTTATTCCAGTTCTATGCCTACACCTGGCAACTTAAGTTTTTGCTCTCTTGGACAATAATCACCACGTAAAGGACACTGCCAGCTGTGTTGAAGAGGAAGGCTTCATGGAGGCAGCATGCCTCTGGAGAATGAGACCCTGTGGAGGGAGACAGGCCCAGCTCCTTGCTGTTCCAGCCCACTGTAGCTGAACCACTAGCCCTGTGCTCGAGGTCGTTTCAGGTCCTCCAGCCCCAATCAAGCCACCCCAGCCAGCAGTACAGGAAGGAAAGACAAGCTGTCACCATTGTGCTCTGTCCATTGTGCAGAATGGTGAGCAAGAAAATGGTCAATGCTTTTCAAGCTGCCACATTTTGGGGTAGTGTGTTATGCATAATAAATAATGGAAATCGATGTTTGAAAGTTGGGTGTTGGCTTAACAAAAATCTAAGACCCATGGCATCGGCTTTGGGACCAGGCATTGGGTAGAGGTTGGAGAGATGATGAAGGAACCATAACTCTTTTTTTTTTAATTCAGTAATTTTTAAAAATTTTCTATTTTGAAACAATTTTCAAAATAGTCACAAAAATGGCATAGAGTTCACGCATGTTCTTCACCCAGCTGCCCTCATGGTGATAAATTGCATAGCCAGGGAATAATGATCCAAACCAGGAAATTGACATAAACCATAGACCTTGTAGGAACTTTGCCAGTTTTTCTGGTGATGTTCTTTTTCCATTTCAGAATCCAATCCAGGGGAGTGCCTGGGTGGCTCAGTGGGTTAAAGCCTCTGCCTTTGGTTCAGGTCATGATCCCAGGGTTTTGGGATGGATCCCCACATCTGGCTCTCTGTTCAGCGGGGAGCCTGCTTCCCTTTCTCTCTGCCTGCCTCTCTGCCTACTTGTGATCTCTGTCAAATAAATAAATAAAATCTTAAAAAAAAAAAAAAGAATCCAATCCAGGGTCCTGCGTTTGCATTTAGTTGATGTATCTCCTTAGTCTGGGAAGGAGACTCTTAGGGGGGTCTCTGAGGGTCATGAGGAAATTGTACTACAGGTTGGAGCAATGGTCCTGTGTAGGGCAAAATGTTGGGCAGCCCTTGTGTGCAGTGAAACACAGAAAAGACAGAAAATGTATCTAATGAACTTGTAGATCTGGCAAACGGCAGTTTCAAGCTACACATTCAGAGTATCAGTTGGCTTCTCTTAGTGATATGTGATAGTGTTACAAGAGAGAGATGTGTTAAAAAAGGAACTCTTCAGTTTTCAAGCAGAATGTAGAGGAAATAGACAGGGCCTTGGAGATTCTGTGATGTTAATGATAGTCTCAAAGGAAGAAATGGCCTCTGCGGCCTGCCTTTCAAATGGGGCCTCGAGGTAAAAATCCAATCAAGACTCCATGTTGAAGCCTCTACAGGTGTTAAGATGTTGTCTCATAGACCATCTCATCTAGCCCAAAGGGCTTCTAAAAAGAACCTTCAGTGAGTCCAACAGCAGCTTTGGTAGGGCCCAAAGTTGACAGAAGTTTTTTTTTAGAAGAATTACAGATGTTGCTTTGTGGGCAAAGTTGTTGTAGACAAGAAGTAAACTCCATTAAGAGTCATAGAAGAATCACAGAACGTTGAAGACAGTTATATTGATGAAGCTAGTGCTAGCCTGAACTAAAGAGGAAAGAGTTCAAAATGGAAAATAAGCCATGGGGCCCCCAACTTTCTGTGGGTAGGACCTAGGCCAAGAGAGCTGTTGGACCGTAAAGGGCAGGCAGTGGCCTATGGAAAAAGGGAACTTCAAAGGTTGTAGCCTGCACCCTGGAGGTGGGAGCCAGGAATAGTGGGTTGGGAAGCGCCTCCCAGGAGAAGAACCGGACCCTGATGGTGGTCTGGGTCCAGAATGAGGGTGACAGTGCTCAGCCAGCTTTCTGAACTGCTAGTAATGGTGGCTGCTCCATGCCTTCAGTTTCCCCCCTGCTTTGATCAAGAGCATCTGTCTAGTTATCTTATCCCTGCCTCAGCATCGTACATTGTGTCAGTAACTTGTCTTTTCAGCTCACAGCAGCTAAATGTATCTAAAATGCCTCAGTCACACTTGGACCTGGTGTCTATCATTAGATCTGGGCCCTTTGAGCCAGTGTTGCACAGAATGACAATCTGGGGGGCGGGAGGGAGTATATTTTGCTAATCTGGTGGTGGTGGTGGTGGTGTGTGTGTGTGTGTGAGAGAGAAAGAGAGAGAGAGAGAGAGAGAAAGAATTATTGTGGCTCAAGGGTGGGTTGTGATACAGTGGTTCCCAATGTGACTGCCAACAGTTCCTCCCATTCCAGGCACTCCTTCCATTAAGGAGTATGGTCTCTTGCCTGCTCCCCTGGGTCTGGGCTGGCTGGCCCTGTGACCAGCTTTGGCCAGAAGAATACAGTGAAAGTGATGTTCTGGGACTTCCAAGCCCTGGCTTTCACTGGCCTTGTCACTTCTGCTTTCTCTTTCTTGGGATCCAGGCTGTAAAGAAAGTAGAAAGGAGCTCGGGCTGGCCACTGAATCGTGAGCAATGACATGAAGAGAGGGTACCGCCAGCCGTTTCAGTGCCCCAGTGGAAGCATCAGACGCCAGGGAAGCCATCTAGGCCGTCCCAGCCCCAGCATAACTCACAGCTAGAGGCGACCACACGTCTGACCCCAGCTGCCACCCTGGGAAGGCAGAAGAACTGCCCAGCTGTGCCCTTTCCAAATTGCAGAATCGTGAGCAAAGAAGTGGTGGTCCTCTTAAGGCACCGAGCTTATGGTGGTTTTTTATGCAGCAATAGATCATTGCTAATTGAAACCCTTACCAAATGTCAAGGTTCTTTCAACTGCTTTAACTTCACTCCCTGGGCTGTGAAGAGGTTGTAACAGATAAAGAAGCCAAGCTTCAAGGAGACTCCATTCCATAAAGGCTGGACCCTCTACGCCAGTCACTGCTCTGTCCACAGAGCTTTGCCCAGAATGAGCACATAACAGATGCCCAAATATTTGTTGACAGGACAATTAAATGAATGAATGGAGATAAAAGATGCCACACCATGAAAAAGAAAGACAAAAAAATATATTTTAAAAAGAGTTTGTCTCATTCTTTTTTTTTTTTTTTCTTTCGAAAAGGTGCTCTTCGTCTTCAGAAACATTGATGTCTTGGATGCCAGAAAGATGTCCTGAAGGGAAAGATTTGTAGGAGTGAGGCACGGGCAACCTTGACTCCTTCTCTATGTCCCTCCTACACCTAGACCAAAGAGGGCGACTTGGGATGCACCTGGCAAATGCACCAACACCTGCTGGTAGATACAAATTATTATCTTTTTCTATTCTTGGAAGAGCTAAAAGCAGAATATATATTCCATAGGACTATAATTAGAGTTAGTAACAAAAGGACCAGAGTAGAATATAAAGTAGCCAATGTTAGGTTGGACAGTCAAAGTCCAAAGTCAAACAGTCAAAGCTGATTTGTCATGTTAGGTCTTTTCTTTCCCATCACTCTCTGGTTCAATTTCTGAACACAGCTTGGACCCCGTGCATGCCTGTTCTGCTCTGTGGTTCTCCCAGGAATACCCGGCCCCACCCTTGTTTCTCTGAGAGTGATCATTTCATACAGCACACCTCTCTACTGGGACATGAAAGGAGACCCAAGTGCTGTGTGCAGTAGCTCCGGGACAGCTTAGACACAAGAAGGGAAAGTTCTTTTTTAGGGTATGGTTACTTGCAGTGCCTTCTGGAAAAGTGCCTTCTGGAGATATGTCTTGGGCAAAAACATCTTTATTTAAAAGAACAGCAATATTTGTAATTAGGATAAGCGAAATAAGGGGAAAAGCCTTGGACCCTTGGAATAATAGGGTGGTTTAAAATTCAGACCTATAATTATTATATTTTTCTATTCTGTATGATTTAGAAAACAGTGGTTAAACAGATAAAAATAGAAAAGATTGCTTAAAAATTAAAGCCATTGATTTAGATCTCTATTTGAAAGGTCAGTGTGTGGGAGCTGAGAAAGGCATTATAGTGATCAGCGTTCAACAAAAGGCATTTTAGCAGCAGAACCTACAAAGATCACATCAACTATTTATATCGCCCACATCAAGTTGCTGGTCATTTCATTTATCAAAAAAAATAAGAAAGTTATTTTCTTTGGACATTCTTTGGGTATAGTAACAATACAGTTTTGGAATCAGCTGTTAGAAACTATAATTAAAGCTGGTTTATCATGTTTACTAATTATTCGCATAGTTAGTCTCCCTGAAGCTTTATATAATTCTCCCTTTGTTACAAGCTTCTGTTTCTCCCTAGGGCAGTCTGAATCCAGACAGGTAAAGAACTAGAGTGCCTGGAAACCAACGTCTGGTAATATCTGTACAGCCAAGCAGATACCTGCAGGTGAAGTTGAAAAACAATATACAGATTTGAAACTTCCTGTGCATTTGATAGAGTTAGCTCTTTGGAAATTTCAGCTCTACCACACGGGTAAGGCGAGCCCCTGGGTACAAGGAAGAAGTGAAGGAAAACAAAAACGGAAAACCGAAGTTTCCTTCAGGAACCTATTTAACACTGGGGAGGGAAGGAGGTGTTTATTCAGTAATTACTAATAACGACCTGATAATACTGTCTGGCTGGCCAGACATCTGTCAGCATCGATGATCCTTTTCGTTTACTGCTCGAGAAAAGCAGAGGGAGCTCACGTTCAGAGAAGCAGCAAAACTCCCGTCCCATTTTGTTCCCTCCGACAAAGGAACTTCTGCTGTGGGCCAGTCTCCCATTCCAGCACTTCAAGGTGGTGCACGCCTTCTCTCCACAAGAACTCTGTGCCATGGGAGTGGAATGCGTCCTGTCTCCTCATGAACCCATTTCCTTTCCAGGAAGTGGATTTCAGGATAGGGTAGGCTCTAGGGGCGGGGGCAGAGTAGGGCAGCACTAACACCGTGGACTCTGGAGACAAGATCAGCGACTTGAGAAACTGAGGTGGGACATTTTACCCCTCCCCAGTCTACCTCCCTTCAACTTCCTCTTCATTTCCCCGTTCCCCACCAAGTGGTATTTGCTACCTAATGGAGCACAACTCAGTTTCTTAACACATAGTCTAGTAGAACACCTACAAATCAGGGACTCCTTATCATTGGTTATTTGTAAAATAAGGAAATCTCTGGCTTACCCTAGGCTGTGTGGATTGGGTTTTCATTTTTGGAAACCAAATGGAGGCCTTTCTCCTACTCTTTCCAGATTGTCGCAGGCCCCCCCCCCATTTCCTTTTCCACTTGTGGCCTTCACCTCCCACAGGCTGACTAGGATCATGCACAAAAACAGCCTCCAGTGAGTATCAACGTGGAAGATTCAGCAGGTTGCTAACTCCTGCAGGGCTATCTTAAAAGGATGTAGTCTATAAATGCAAAGTGTTATGGAGCCTGGGAGATCTCTAAGAACACTGTAAATATCCCTGGTTTAATTAGTACTTGTGGAATTAGGTAATGGCCTGTGGCTTCTAAGCAAGCCCTCTTGGGGTTTCTAGTCTTCAAGGGGCTGCCTGCAATCATGATGTGCTCATGCACAGTCTTCTTTTGCAGATACGGAATAAATCCTTTTAGACCTTCCTAGGCAGCTACTCACAATTACTGCAATACACATGCTAACTGATCCCATTCTCCCAGGTCTTTAAAAAAAAAAAAAAAAAAAAAAAGGCAAGCCAGACAGCCAGTGCCTCAGCCCAAGTCTCAACTCAGATACTTTGGACTCTGATTGTCTCCTTGAGTTCTACTTCCCAGGGAGAAAGAAAAGGAAGAAATTCCTAGATTGATGTTGATTGATACTCATTCTTTTCGAGCAGAAAGTGGACAACTCTCTTTGCCGCAGCTGATCAATGTCATGGTAATTGCGCTCCAGCTCTCCGAATTTCTGAACCGGCTCTCTCACCGGGATAGGTCAACCAACCAGGGCTGTTAGCCGACTTGACAGGTTTGTTCTGGGCTGATGGCCATTGACTAGGTTCTCCGACCAGATAAGTCACTTGGCTGAGTCTACAGTAGGTGGGGCGCGCTCACCAGCTTAAGGGTAGTGACGGGAAGTTTGTCGCAACGCTGGTGAATTCAAGCAGCGGGCAGCTGCAGGAGATACCGTTTTGCCCCCGGTGCACAGCAGCAGGAAGGTGCGTCCCTGCTAGCGCAGGGCACAGGGAGGGAAATGCCAGACCCCCGGGGCTCTGCCCCTTCTCCCACGGTGAGGAACGCGCACTGTTGGCCGCGCCAGAGCTCCGTCTCAGGTCTTGGCCCTTTAGCTGGCTCGGTAGGTAGCTCGCGAATGGGTAGGACCAGGTTGGAAGCTCTCCCCCCGTGGTCTGCGAGAAGCCGCGGCCAGTGGTGCGGGGAGGCGGGGGCACGTGCTCGAATGTGGGTGCTTGTGTAACCAGCTCCCCAGGCTCCAGCACCGACAGCGCTCCGGCCGGAGGCCGTCGGACCCTGCGTTTCCGCCGCGACCCGGAGGCTCGGGGTTCCGCTGCCGGCACACGGCAGCAGCACCCCGGGCAAAGGACGAGAAGCACTTGCTCCCCAGCCATCATAGGGGAGTGGGAATTTGGAAAGTTCCCCAACTAGGAACACACGTGACCTCCTCCTGAAAGTAGTTCCGACTGTGACCCGCGTATCCCTCCACCTCCTTTTGAACCCTCCTCGGTCTCCTCGGCCACGCCCACTCGCAGGGGCTGCCGCATCCTACCGTCCGGTATTTCACACTCGGGCCCGGGCAGCGCCGGCTGCTGGCGTGCGCAGCTCGGCTCGGGGAGCGCGGAAGCCGGTCCGCGGCAATCCACCCGGCCGGGTTTTCACAGCGGCCCGAAAGGGGCGGGGCGAGGCAGCTCTTGAGTCCCGAGCCTCTGTCCGCCGCGGTGAACCGAGCTGGATCTCCGAGGGGAGGGATGCTCAGCTCTCCAGGGGGCAATGTGGGGGGCTGCGGTGTGGGTCCCGTCTCCCGGGGTACGCTTTCCGGGCAACGCGGGCAGTGGTTCTTGGAGCCTAGACATTTAGGGACGGTGTGCTCACACGCAGCGCGCTCGGTTGCGAGCTCTCGTTTTCAGAGCGAAGGAGCCGAGCTGCTGGGGAAGCGGGAGGTGGGGCGGGGAGAGCGAGCCGGATGAGGCGATCCACACGGAGACACAATAGGGGGTTGTTCTTTGTGCAAAGACTGACACCTTGAGGATACGGGCGGGGGGGGTGAGCAGAGAGGTAGGCTCCCTCGGCAAAGGCTGCTGTCGGCGAGTCCCTGCCAACGACAGTGATCCGACAGCGGTGCAAAAGGAGGACGAGGCTAGGGGCCGGGCTGGGGAAAGCTGGGGGCGGAGGCGCGGGGGAGGGGCGCCCTCGCGGTGGGGACTGTCCCCGCGTTTCCCTGTACCCCGACCAGCGCGAGTCACCTGAGCCTCCCTACCTGTGCACACGGGTAACCTCAGACTCGAGTCAGTGACACCGCTCAGTGCACTCTCAGCTCTCCCCTTCGGCCCTCCCCGTCCCCGACCGGGTTTCTGGGCACAGGCCGAGACTTGGCTCGTTCCCCCTCCACCGCTCCCCCCCGCCCCGCGCTGCTGCAGAAGCCGCGGCAAGTGCAGCTCCTGGCGGGTGCCTCGCACAAGCCCGAGCGAGCCCCGGGCGCTCGCACTGGGCATGCTCAGTGGCGGCCGCAAGCCAGAGGCTCGGCGCTCGCCCCCAGAGCTGCCGCCCCTGCCCCTCCGCGTCTCTCCCTCCCCCGACGCGGTCTCGCCCGCCTCCCACCTCCCCTCGGGCTCCCAGGCGCCGGACTCCCGGCGCGGCGGCGGCGGCGGCGGAGGGGGCGGGCGGGCCGGCGGGCGGTGATGTGGCGGGACTCTTTGTGCACTGCGGCAGGATACGCGCTGGGGCGCTGAGCCGCGGCTGCGCTCGGCTCTCTTCTCTCGGAAGCTGCAGCCATGATGGAAGTTTGAGAGTTGAGCCGCTGTGAGGCGAGGCCGGGCTCAGGCGAGGGAGATGAGAGACGGCGGCGGCCGCGGCCCAGAGCCCCTCTCAGCGCCCGTGAGCAGCCGCGGGGGCAGCGCCCTCGGGGAGCCGGCCGGCCGGCGGCGGCGGCAGCGGCGGCGTCTCTCGCCTCGTCCTCGTCCTCTCTTCTAACCGTGCAGCCTCTCGCTCGGCTTCTCGTGCAAGGGACGGTGGAAGCCGCGGGCCCGGGCGGGAGCCGGCTGAGGCGCGGCGGCGGCAGCGGCACCTCCCGCTCCTGGAGCGGGGGGGAGAAGCGGCGGCGGCGGCCGCGGCGGCTGCAGCTCCGGGGAGGGGGCCGGAGTCGCCTGTCACCATTTCCAGGGCTGGGGCCGCCGGAGAGTTGGTCTCTCCCCTCTTACTGCCTCCAACACGGCGGCGGCGGCGGCGGCACGTCCAGGGACCCGGGCCGGCTGTAAACCTCCCCTCCGCCGCCGCCGCACCCCCCCCGGCCCGGGCTCCGGAGGCCACCGGCGGAGGCAGCGGCCGTCCCGAGGATTCGCCGTCTCCTTCTCGTCTCGCGGCGGCCGCGGCCAGGCCTCTGGCTGCTGAGGAGAAGCAGGCCCCGTCGCTGCAACCATCCAGCAGCCGCCGCAGCAGCCATTACCCGGCTGCGGTCCAGAGCCAGGCGGCGGCAGAGCGAGGGGCATCCGCTACCGCCAAGTCCAGAGCCATTTCCATCCTGCAGAAGAAGCCCCGCCACCAGCAGCTTCTGCCATCTCTCTCCTCCTTTTTCTTCAGCCACAGGCTCCCAGACATGACAGCCATCATCAAAGAGATCGTTAGCAGAAACAAAAGGAGATATCAAGAGGATGGATTCGACTTAGACTTGACCTGTATCCATTTCTGCCGCTGCCCCTCTCTGCCTTTCTGTCACTCTCGCTTAGAACGTGGGAGCAGACGGAGGCGAAAAATTTCCATGGTTTGGGTGACCGTAGCAGCTAACCCTGCTCGAATTTCTAGATCGTGTCTCTTTGGTGTCTCTCTCGAATGCATCCAGCCTAGGGTGTGTTCGGCTACATGGAACTCTGGCCCGCTTGCGAGTGTCAAGGCACCGATTGCTTTCTCGGGTCTGTCTGCGGGGTCTCTTCCGAAGGGCTATTGTCCGTTAACACAGAACACGGTACACTGTTGGTGGATTAGTGAGCTCGGTAATCCGGTCTGCTAAATGAACAGAAAAGTAGACGCTTTGAGGTTGAGCATATTTCGATTAAATCTTGGCTTTAGGCCCTAGATCAAGGGTATAGATTAGATTAAAATGAAAATTAGTGTTGCACGTATGCATATTGCATCAGAATCTTGCACTGATTGTTTTTAGTTTCCTGGGTTGCATTGATAGACTTTTTTATTTTTTTAAAATGTGAGTTGTGAGCTG